AGAAACACCAAATCGAACTTTGGTTTCGGTACATTATTCGCATCGCTTTGGGAAATCTTATAATCTTCTACGAAAATAGAGAATTCGCAGCAACATTTTAGAGGCTCGAGTAGAGAGTATTTTCTTTTTATGTTACAAATATGTACTTCCGCACCATTAAAAAATGTTAAGGAAGAAGAATTTTTGGTAAAAATAATTTCTTCTTTTTGAACCACGTTCAGGTTGAGTTTCCCTGTTTTAATAAAGGTTGCATTATCATTTACTTTTATGCAAAGTAAAAATATACCTATGACACCGTCCTTGTCCTTCATTATCAATTCAAACTCTTTCTTATCGTTGTAACCTACATTGAATTTCGTGCTAATTTTGTTTGCTCCAGTCGCAAAATCAATCGGCCATAATAAACATTCTATCTTCCACTCAAAAGAGCAGTTTTCCGTGCGATTTTGCTTATAGTGTGAGATACCACTAAATCCAAACATATTACACTGTGGGATAAACCTTGAAATTCACTCAGACTTTTATTGTACGCACAAACTGTGGGAACAATATGTGGTTGTGCAAAACTACTAAATGCGAATGACTGTCGCACAATGTTTGATAAGACCCTCATTTTTTATCTTATCAGTCTTCAGTCTTCACACTTGACAATTGATACTGTTAATTCGCACTAAGGTCGCTTTATTTGCAGAAAACTAACACGCGTGACGCCGCGAAAACTATTTAATAATTGATTTTATTTTGACAGAAGAGAATGGCGACTGAAATGCATTTTGCGTATTAACTTCACAATTTTATTGAACAATTAATCAAACCTAAAATACTTAATCATATCTGCGACTTACAGTAACAATCACTTAACATAATTAACGAATGAGTCGGCTCTACAGACGATCTTGGTATCAGCGTAGGTGTTTCAGCTGGCAATACTACTTTTGCGTACGAACGTCATATATTTCTGCAAGTTTACAGATTATTTGGAAAAAAGTCGCTCCATACTGAGAATCATATTATTGACATCATTGATTCTAAAGCTCGGTTGATATGTATTTTTAAGGAATCAATTGTTTTTCTTTTCAAATGACTCATATTGTATTTATCAACTATTGCGAAAGTCTCTACCGCATTTTCAGTGGATAACTTAGAATTGAAAATTTTGTTACACTCACTTTTCAAACCTTCAAGTTGATACTTTTCAGCAGCTACTAAAATTTTAACAATCAAAGAAATTTGACTTTCTTCAATTCTACCCGTATAGATGTATCGTAGCATCTCCATTGCGGCATCATAACTAATATCCATCATATCAACTGATCGATTCTTGTTTTCGAGCATGTCATGGCTAAACATGGCCTTGAACACTGGACTCGCAGCTGCGAGTATGACTCTATGCGCTGGAACTTCCTTTCCGCACGCAGTTCGTAGAATGACATCACTTAAATTCTCATCGAGAAGTATCCAGTCGAATTTTAGCATTGGTGCTTCATTCGAATTGACATAGTTAAGCAAATCTTTTCATGGTCCTTCACAAATGACAATTCACAATGAATAGTTACAGTACCTGTGGATGAAACGAATTAGTTCATATCTTTAAGTTCCAAATCGAAAATATCAGACCGATACTCTCTAACGCTATCAATTTTGGTGTAAACAATTTCGTCATCCTTAATAACTGATACTTTGTGAGTAAAACTCAATTTTAATTCATTCTTCATCTCGAATAGATATAAAGTAACGTTAAATTTAGGATCCAGTCGCTGCAATGATAATACAAACTGTGTTTGATTATGTCACTGCCGAAATTGAAATCTGGCGAATGTATCACTCCACGGTTTTTTTCTCTCAGAAGTATTAGATAATTACTTATCACCCACGTAAAATCATAGTATCCTACATCAATATCAGTATAGCCTATGATTTTCTGGTTGTTTGACATTTTGCATTAATTGTATTTATTCTTAGCATAATACTTCGGCGAAAAATAATCATAGTTTCAAGTTTGGCGTATTTCAGATAGAAATAAAAGAAAAATCTCAGACAAACTGGTAAATCTGGTAAAATCTTCTTGAAATGCATCGGGGGGTAATTCACGTAGAGAAAAGTATTTTCGAAAAGCATCTCCCGGTCTCGAGGCGGGAAATATTTCCTTCCCTTAAGGTCTGCACCGCCACCGAGTGGAAATTCAATTATCGGCCATAAGCTCGTTCGTTGGCGAATTAGTCGCCGAAATGGCCACGAAGCAATTCATATGGACCTGTCGAACGACGAGTCCGCGCAGCTCGAGCCGTAATCTATATTACGTCGTCCGAATTTTAATGGATGCCAATTGCGTTTTAAAGGGCTTCACGGTAAAAAAAATAAAATAAAATCCGCCAACCAACGCGGAACTGATCGATCCAATCGTGTCGCATTATCACGGACGACGAGTCACGCACCTGCAGCAGCAGCAGAAGCGATCCGATACACGCGTTTGCGGCGAAAATAAAACGAGAAAATCGTCGTCGCTGGCTCGGAAAAAAATCGAGCTCTTTCCGTATATATACGTATAATATAGCTGTGCGCAGACACGCGAGTTTGACACTGCGGCTTTGTCGGTGCCAGGCGACGGGTCTCCCCCTCCGTACCGCAACACACAAAGCCGAGCGCGTGTTCGCACACGGATGGATGACATTCGATCAACGGATACTGTTGACTTGGCCCAACGAGTCTTATGTATATGTACTGCGGAGGCTGGTGGCTTTGGCAGTCGACTCGAACTTTTCGTACGTTATAGAGAATATGATGTTGATGCACCGACGCCTCGTTAATTTGTCCCATTTCGCGATTAATTTTTGTTTGGAACATTACATTTTTTCTTTTTTCCAAATCAAAAACAAGATTCGCGTTAGTTAAAAGCCTTTTCAATTATACGTAAGGAGAGAGAGAGAGGATCGACGCTGATCCTGAATAAGTGAGATATATATTCTTTAAGAATACGAGAGAGATGCGCCCCTTTCTTGCGAGCCGTGTAAACACGCCGAACAACAAACAAAAGACGAGCTCCGGATTTACTATCGACGGGCCAGACTCCGTACTCTATAGACCTGCCAAATCCTCTGCCGATTTATATATATATATACACGCGAAGAGCTGGCGAGCTCAGACTGCTGCTACAATGTCCGCGTCCGGATGTACGTATATGGAAGCTGGTAAGGGAAAACAAAGTCTCAGACTGCGAGTAAACTTTCTTTCTTCTCTCGATATATATACATATATATATCGAGAGAAAGAAAAGCCGAGAGGAGAAGAGCCAAGGTCGATTTTTAAGTAAGTGTGTGTACACGCGACCAGACAAACGGTAAAGCCCAGGGCTCAGCGTACTATCGAACTCCAGACTGTTTCTCTCGCGTATACACCCTTCTGCCAGGAGAGCTTTTTATCATCTCGAAAAATTTCTATGTATACACGACTCGCGGCCTTGTATCTGTCATGAAAATAAAAATGATGATAATATAATATCGAGATTGAGTAATTATAATTTCGAAGCGGCTTACGTTCGTTATTAATCGGGTAAAGTAAAATATACAAAATTTTAATCGCATCCCATACGTACATTTTATTTATGCGTTATACATTTTATGCGACATACCGCGGTAACATCTCTCTTTCTCTCTCTCTCTCTCTGTATACGTTCGTATGCGTACACGTTTTCCGTTGGAAAATATCGCGAAAACTGCCGGCACCGCCGAGGCAATCCCTGCAGCTTCCTGGTTTGAATTTCAATCGTATACGTATGTATAATAATACGTATATATAATAATGCGAACGCCGAAAACAAGGGTATCACCGCGCACACGCGCGGCAATAAAAGCCCGAGTGGGTCCGCGTGATTATACATTGAATATTATATATATACCCGAATTTTTGGCGACGGACACCGCTGCCGCGTGCACTCGAAAAATTCGGCGCGGCTTATTTAGACGCGTTGCGCAGCTGCACAGACACACACACACACACACGAGCGTCAAAATGCAGTGGAGTTTAGTCGGGGCGCGTACAATGATAATATATTTATGCTCGTTTCGCTGACCCGCGCGCATTAAAATATCGTCGCTCGCGAGCGCGATGGTACCTCATGAATTATTCAATATTCCTGTATTGACGTGACACGTACGCGAACGCGCGCACACACACGTTTTAGCGTTTACAGGCGCATGAAAATATTATAAAATTAATTCCTCAATTAGCCGGGGCGCGACACGACACGACGAGCGGCCGCTCGAGCGCGTAAAATTCGCGCGTAATACAATGGAAAAGCGACTGTGTATATGTATACGTGTACGAAAAGCGTCCAACGATTAAACGACTTTTACGCGAAATTTTCTCTGCCCCTCTCTCTCTGTCCGTCTGTTCCCCACTCGGTAAATACTCTGCTCGCTTTTCCGCGCAATCACAATATACTTTTGTGTATACAAGCGCGCAGGCATATGATCGAACGCGAGCCCGAATCGGGGGTATATAACTTTTGTCGTCGATTTTCGCTCCAATAATTTTGCGTGTCGAACATAGCGGAGAACGAAATTCTCGCGTTCGATAATTAATCGCTCGATTTTGTCTCTATCCTGCTCTCTCTCTCTCTCTCGATATATCGCAAAAATAGTATGAAGACGCGAAAACTATTATATACCCCACGGGGTGACTCTTTGTAAGCTCTTTGCAGTCTTTGATGGCACAAAGATGACAGAGAGACAGAGCTAGACAATTTTCTCGCGCCTTATGTTGCGCGGGAACGAGCTCTCGTTATTTTTTTGCCGCGCGTGTCGCGGACGCAGGCCAATAAATTTCTTGTCCGGAAACTTTTACCTCGCGTAACTGTTAATGACGACGAGAGAAAGAATAAGTTGGATCGCCTGGTGCTTTCGGATTGTTAGTCGTTCAATCTTTTATCGATTACCTGGAGATGGGTGAATGTAATTGCGGTTAGGAAAAATCCAGAACAACACATTTATTCGAGGTCACAAATTAAAATTACAAGTCTTTTTATTTAAAATATTATTGCACAAGTCGTGATAATGGCACTATAATGATTAAAATATGAATTATTATTATCCCCTTGTCTCCGTGGGGTCGTCGCGCCAGCTCTTCGGCGACCCTTTCGGCGAAATAAGGGTCGGCTTGAACTCCAGGTTCTCGCCGTCGATCGTGATATCCAGCTGTCCCCAGGCGGGGCTCGACGCGTCCACCTGGCGGCAGAAGCGCTTCCTCTCGATTTTCTGCTCCTGCGGATGGTCCCAGGGAAACGCGTTGACGCCGATATTCTCGCTGAGCCCCAACGACTCGGCCAGCCGACGATAGCCGGGCAGCTCGTGGTGCAGCACCAGCGCGTTGCCGAAAGTCAGAGCGTCGTGGAGATGGAGCACCGAGGCCGCCTCGAGGCCGCGCAACAGTAGGACGCGGGGCGCGCTGGTCTTGGTCAGCTCGCGCTCGAAGACGGAGCTGCGCTCGCACAGATTGCGCCGGTCGCACAGGAAGACTCGCGCGCTCGCCTCGTCGCAGCGCAGGTAGACGGTCTCCTCGGCGGGCGGCAGGTCTCGGGGCGACGGCTTGGGTTTCGTCGCGAGCGCCCACGCGATCGCCGATGCGTACTTTCTGAGCTGCCTTTTGGCGGCGGGGCTGGATGCGCCGGACGAGTCGGGTGTCGGAGGCATGACGAAGACGACGCTCAGCTCGCACGGATGTCGATGACGATGATCGTTGCCTGTGTCAGCGTCTGCTACTGTCACGTGCTTCGATTGAATAGCGAGTCGGTTGATGGATTATTGAACGAGACGAAGGGCCGCGAGGCGAGAGCGTTTCGTACTAGCGAGACAGCGCGAAAATCAACGTACTCTAAATAACGCACAAAATCCACCCAATGAATCCAATGAGGTGGAGAATTTGGATTATCTGAAATGAAAAAACAATCATATAATCAATTCGTTCAACGAGTGAAACGCCTTACGCGTATTCATTTTGCTTACTGAGTTGGGTACACCCGCTACTGGTGCACTGGAAATAACTGATTCTTTGATTAATTTTCAAGACTTTAATGTTCTATGTCTTTTGTGGGAGTGAAACTTCTCAAGTACGCGTGCGCGCAAGGCACCCGAGAAAAATTGAACGTCCGAGCCAAAAATGTATAACAAAACCATATTATATGCATGCTGGTATCAAGATTGGTATCAAGACCTGATAATGTGCAATCTGTTGAAGAACACAAAAAGGTGAACTTTCATCAAGTATAAAATTTCAGGGTCTGTTCGAATGGAGTCTTCAGATGTTCAGCGCTGAATTGTGAAAATTGAAGTATCCTTAGAAATCTCATTCACATCTCAGGAAAAATAATTAAACATAGGTCTTTGTGAAAAAAGTTGTGAGAAATTCAAATTTTAATGTTGAAAGTTTATTCATATGCGTTAAAACTGTTACCAATACCAAAATACAACTGTTACAGAAATTTTGTAATTATATCCTACTACAGCACAAAGATATTCACTAAAGTGAAACAACAAACGATGGAAAGCTCATTGTTTACACTATTATAGTAAAACAATAAATGAAACTCAACTTTGGAGTATGTTTTTACATTTTTATACTTGAGTAATGAGAAATTAACTGCTTTGTACACATTAAACGATACATGAAGATATACCATGATCCATTTATATATAAATGATCTAATACAACACAAAGATATTCACTAAAGTAAAAAAGCAAATGATTAATTATATGAATAATTTAATACACACTATAAACAATTGTCGAATGTCAGATATGTTTTTAATTAGTAACACTGCCGTACATTACAATTGATAAAATTAATTACCTGATAGTTTTTATTGGAAATCATTATGTTCGCTTCAGTCATGTAATTATTAAATTGGATATTGACTTTTATAATTTAATCATACAAGCAATCTAAGGTATAATCATTATTGAAAGTCTTAACACAGATGCTTAGAGAAAAAGAATCACTTGAAATGCATGCAGCTGAGATAAATATTCAAACACTCTACATACACGACTGATATAAAATCAAATCACTAATTACACAGAGTTATAACCATGGTATACCATGATATGATTAACCATTTCATGTAAAATCCATCACATATGCACTCATAGAGTACTTAATATTTAGTTACTTGAGTTATTTTGTTACTGTCTGCTGCCACAGTCGACAGCGAAACTTTGTGTCAACTATGACAGCAGTCAGCAAGGAGATGAAATAGCAAGATAGATTGCTATTACATGAAGGTGTGTGTGTGTGTGTGTGTGTGTGTTTAAAGTATTAATTAACCAATAAGTGCAAGTGTGATAGACTCTACTCAAATCTGGTAATCAAATCATGGTATATCATGGTAATATTTTTGTGTAATTAGTAATCTCTATAAAGAGTGTTTGTTGATTATTTATTTGTCTCAGCTGCATACTAGACATAATATGTATTTGCATACCAGTTCAAGTGATCCTGATGCTCAAGCTGTTTGCGCTGAAATTATTAATGTACACACTACAGATGACTGAACAAAGCATAATTCAATATCTAATTGAGATTCAATTTGTATTAGATTATTTATATATAAAAATAAATACATGATATATCCACATGTATCGCTTATTGTGGTAAAGCAGCAACAACCTCCAAAGTTGAGTTTCATTTATTGTTTTACTGTATAATAGTGTAAAAAATGAGATTTTATTTGTTTGTTTTTTTAATTTTAGTGAATATTTTTGTGATGTAGTAAAGATATAATTACAAATTTTCTGTATCAGTTGTATTTTGGTATAAGAAAGTACACGCTTCATTGTAGGCCTAATTGAAATACACAAATTTATTTGTGTTTGACTTTTATTCATTTTTTTGATTTTCAATAGGTTTAGAGCATATGAATAATCTTTCAATATTGAATTTGAAATTTTTCACAAAAACCTATGCTTAATTATTTTTGTAGAGATGCAAATGAAATTTGTAGGGATATTTCAATTTTCAAATTTTATCATTGAGATTCTAAAGACCCCAGTCATAGAGACCCAGCAACTTCTGTTGTTGAATATCCCATATTCATGAATGAAACCATGACTGATAAACAAATATCAAAAAAATGTTTTCATCAAATATCAAAAAAGCTACCCTTGACAAAACTAATTTTTTCGGTCAAATTGAAAAGTATTATTACTTCCGGAAAATTAACCTTTTTCTTGACTGATACACATGGGAATGCGTGGTAGACATTTTTGAGCCAAGATGGCGGAAGGAGATGGGGCCATAACTCAGGGCTGTCATGGGACCAAGCCTTAAAAAAAATGTTTAAAAATGTATGAAAAATATTTTCAGGTCATGGATGAGATCAAAATAATCTTTATATACGTATATTGTTAAAAAAAAAGTTTCATACAAAACAGTCTGTCCGTTCACTTGCAATTAATTAATTACGACGTTGTTTAAAGTGAGATAATGACGAGTCATAGTAGCTGAATTAACGACAAATATCGGGTCCAAACTTTCTACTTTCTTCTTCTTGAGATGCGCCGAAACGTTTTCTTCAACTCATCAACCAGTGGTGCATTCATTACGAGCACGTGCTCTGCTATAGTCGTATCGACCGTACAGTGAGTGATTTCGAGAGGAAAAGAAAATTGTTTTGTTACGTGTTTTTTGTGTGCGTGTGTACCCAGAACGATGTCCTACAGAACCGAAAGCCAGCCCGAAACTCGTATCATCGAGAGTTCACCAGCTCCTTTCGAGGACAAACGCTACATTTGGCGAGACATGATGATACTGCGAGATACGGCCAACTGGGAGAACGCGTTGGAGCGAAAAAAATTCATCCATCAGTTTTACAAATTAATTCTCCGTTGGGGCTACGGCCTAGTTCCCGACATCCAAGCTCTTTTTCTACCGGAACAGCTGGAGCGGCTTCTCATGGACTGCATTGATTTCATCAGGACGTTGAATGGGTCGCTTTTCACCGTGGGAAAGGAAGTGATCGAATTCGTGTCTTTGAGTGGCTATAGACACGAGCCCCGAGTCGACAAACGCGGCAAGCCGTTGTTAAAACGAACGACACCGTTGCATTACTTGATCAGGTTTCCGGACGCACAATTGGTCAAAGACTTATTTAGAATTTACAATAAGTACGAAGTAAATTACATCAACGAAGAAACCGGCGAGACACACTTCCACGTGGCTTGTACGGTGGGCCGGGTAGAAATCGTCAGACAATTTTTGGAGCTCGGCCAAGTCGATCCCAATTTGCTCGTCCCAAAAACGAGAGATACTCCTCTACACTACGCTATAATTAACGGCAATAGACCTGTGGTGGATTTGTTGCTAAGACGTGGCGGAAATCCGCAGTTAGTCAACGTGGATGGCTACACGGCTCTTCACGTTGCTTGTCGAAGTACCAGCGAGGACGCCGTGCCGAGGATGTTGTTCGAGCTCAGTGACGAGAAGCATCAACCGATACAGGTTGATGCACGAGATAACTCGAACAACACGCCGCTACACTTGGCATTGAAGTACGCAAAATTGAGCATGGACGTGGTGGGACTGCTACTGCGGAGAGGTGCCAGTCCGAATTCGGCTGACGCCACGGGATCGACGCCTTTGCACTGCATCTGCAAAACGATTTTCTTGAACAAGGGTAATTTTTTGAATCAATTTATCAAGATTGCCCAACGTAAAAATCATAAATTGCAATTCGACACGAGGGATAATGCGGGTTGGACTCCACTTCAATGGGCTGTTGCGAGTTTCGATCCAAAAGCTGTGAGCGTACTCTTGAAGCACGGCGCCGATCCGTCTCACTTCGTCTTTCCCACCGACTTGCTGAGCTGCTTTGGGGCGAAAATCGAGCCGCGCAATAATAATTGCGAATTGCGACTGGTGTCCGGAGCTCTCGCCACCGTTGAAATACTCGAGAGACAAGGATACGAATTCGACCGCCTGGATGCCATAGCGATCATGAAATTTTTTGTCGATTACGGATTGATCGAGAAAACGACCGACGTCGACAAATCTTGGTGCAGCGACGAGTCGTTCGTCCGACAAGCGACGACAATGTGGGTGAGGCCGAACCTGTCGCTCCATCATCTGCTCCAGGTTCCACCCAGACAGGCGGCGAAATTACTGAGTTTCATGGATTATCACAAATTATCGCACAACCTTAATTTCTGGATGATTCTGTCCAACAAGCACAGACGGGCATGCATACTTCATCTGTGCGAGATGATGTCGACGCGTTTTTTTACTTGTTGTACCGTGGAGTGTCTGTACCTGCTGATTCATCGTCGATTGCCACTCGAGTGCTGCGAAATGATTCTGACAAATCTGAAAAACGAAGATATGTATCGTGTTTGTTTGGCGCATGTGGCTCAAAGTTTAGAGCGGAAATGAAGAATTTATTTAGTATTTTGTATGGTTGTATATTTTCATAATATCAATCGAATAAATAAACGTTACGAAAAAATTAAATCCATTGATTTGCTTTAATTAAAAATCTTTCATGATCTTCTTGTTTTCATCCTTCCTTGTTGGCAACGAATATATATGTTATCGTCATCTCTTTGAGAATTGTGTAAAATGAAAAAAACAAGTAAAATGTGTCCAATATTTGTAATATTGCAATATTTCGGTGGCATAAGTCGCACATTCTGGCACCGCTGCGCTTCGTGTGCTCTCGTGTGCTAACCTCACTTCGCGTTACCAGAAAGTGCGACTTATGCATCGGCAAACCGGGCATAAATGTGAACTTAGCACAGTGCTATAAAATGTTATACGATACTCGTGCCATGGGGACACTTTTCGGCCCAGCTATTAGGACCCTCGCTGCGCTCAGGCCCTAAACTACGCCGTGCCAAAAAGTGTTACTCATGCCACCAGTATCGTAAAGTACTATTTCTAGCTACAGCATCGAAAAAATTAAGAAAAAGTTTTTTTTATAATTGTAGTTTATTTTGAAATGTAACGTTTTTTTAAACCTTTCGTCGATTGTTTTCAGAGTTGCATCCTTGAAATCAAATATGGTTTGTTTTTGATTTTTCGAAAATGTTCGTTTTATCGCTTTTAACGAAAAAGGAGAAAGTTTAATTTAAATCGAAGCTAAGATCTAAAAAAGGTGAAAAAAATTGTTGTAAATCCTGTTTCTTTCATGATAGAACAGT